GAGTCGCCTGTGTGCGGAGCTGTTGATTGTTTTCTGGTTGAGAGAAGAGGTGATGATAAGGCTGGGACAAAGTGAGCCCAGGAACGGCAGGCGCGGGCAGCTGTATGCTAATGCTCACAGAAACCAAGCCTCTCCGTCCCCCATTAAAGCTGGCGGCCAGGAGGCCACACATCACTGAACAAATAGGCTCTCTCTAGACAAATAAAATAACACACGCTGGCCTGCCTGCCTGCCGGGAGGAGGGAGAGTTGGGAGAGGGAGGGGGGGGGAGCTTGAGGGAGGAGGGAAGAGTGGGAGTAAGGAGAGGGAGACGAGGGGGGGGGGCGGAGAGGTGAGGGACTAAGGGTTGGAGGAGAGGCAGGAAGAGACTGGAGGAGCGGGCAGGACGGTCTGAGAGGGGGCATGGGGGAGACACTGGCAGAGATGGGGGAGAGACAGGAGGAAGGAGAGAGTTGGGAAGAGAAGGAGAGAGTGATGGGCTAGCGGGGTGGGCAGGGGGAGAAAGGGGGAGTAAGAGGGAGAGACCCGGACTGGGAGGCAGAGGGGAGGGAGGGAGAGGAGAGAAGGGAGGAGAGGGGAAGGGAAGAGGACTGAGATGGAGAAAAAGAGGAAGACAGGTGGACAAGAGGAGAGAAGGAGGAAGCGCGGTCAGAATACATAAACCCAAACCCAAGAACAGGAACAAGAACAGGGGAGTCCCGGCCAAGGAGGAAAGTGCGTGCTCCTGGCCCCCAGGAGTCCCCGTGTCCACCCCGGCGGAAGGAGAGGGAGGACCAGGTCGCAGGGGCCTTTCTGGTCAGTTTCTAGTGGGTTTCGTCGGCGCCTTTTCTGAGACGGAGGCGCGCGGAACATGGGGCCGTCACCTCACAGGCGGAAGCAGCCCCCTCCTGCGCCCACGGTCAAGGTCATCCCGTCCCTTCGGTGCCCCGCCAGCGCTTCCAGGCCCACGTCTCTATTTTGACTTTCGTACATCTTCTACCTTCACCTTCGCCAGCTTTCTCCTGCACCACCCTTCCAGTCGCCGGGGCGGGACCTTCCTGCCTCCTCCCCCACCGGCCTGGACAGTCCCACCCGAGGCAACTACACACCGTCCCGAGGGCACTTGGAGGCGCGCTCGGCGCCCCGACGGCGCACTCAGCGGCGTAAAGAGGGGCACCCCCCCACCCCACCCCCCGCGGATGGTGCGCGCGCGCAGCAGATTGCCGGGGGCACTCGAAACTCGAGGGGAGGGACGCACTTGAGCGCCACCGCTCCGCGCCGGGCGGACGGCGCGGCCTCGCAGACTCTCCCTTGTTCGCTTTCTTTCATGCTCTCTCCTTTTGTGTGGAATTATTTGAACGGGAGATCCCTGGCAGCTTTATGCTAATGTGCCGAACAAAGGCGGCGGCCCACGGGCGGGGGCCCGGAAGGTGCCGGGAGGCCGGCGTGGCCGAGCGGGGCGGCGGGCGGCGGGCGGCGGGCTGCGCGTGTCTCTCGCGTGCCCTTGGGGCGGACAAAACAGCTCCTCATTCCTGCAAACACAAAGCCTCTCCCGGGCTCGGGTCGCGCGCAGCCCTCCGGGCACCGGCCCCTCCGGGACCTGACGGCGGGTACTAAGGCGGTAACGCGGGGTTCAGGCTGGGATCTCGGCTCGGGAGCCAGGAGGGCCTGGGGTGGAGCTCCTGTAAATGCAGGAGAGCGCTCAGCCCAGAGGGAGGGTTGGGGGGTATGGGGGAGGAGGTGGGGGATCTGACAACTCCCTCTCGCCCCTCCCTGGCGTCTCCAAACTCGGCCGGCGCCGCGGGATGAGATTGCGGACCTTCTCGTCTCTGCCTCTCAGGAGTTCAGGGGTCGCTTGGGCTGGTGGACACCTCAAGAGGCCATTACTAGGCCGAAATCCCCCCTTTGTGCTCATTTCCATGCTTCAGGCTTTCTAGGAACTCCCTGGACCTATGAGGTCACCGTGACCCCCGCGCGCTCCCCGACGGCAGCCCAGTCGTCCACGGAAGGAGCCACAAGGACAGGAAGCGGTAGAGGCCGCCGCATCTTTCCCAAGCGCTCGCCAGGGCCCCACAGGAAAGGGAGCGTCACCTGGGACCTGGGAAGGACATTTCGGCGGCCCTTCCTGGGTTCCTCACGCCTGTGGGCTTCGGGGAAGCTCCCCAGAAGTGTGGGCTGGGGGGCAAATCGGCGCTCAGCGCTGCCCCAGCTCAGCTCCTCCCAGGGGGTATTCGGACGCAGGGCGCTAGGGCAGCGGCGGCGGGGCTGCGCTCTTCCTGGGGGAGACAAGTATCTCCGTGTCCCCATCCCGCAGGTGCATGGGTTCTGAGAAATAAAGTCACGGAGAAAACAGCGGAAACCCACGACTGGGTGCAAGCCTGCAGGTTCTCAGAGGCTGCCGGTGGGGTGATCGCAGCCTGATGCTCCCCCAGCTCGGGGTGGTGAGATTCGTTTTTAATCCTTGTACCTTTCACGGGCCCCTTTATTTTGACCGTACCCATCTGAAAGCATATTTCACTTCCACTGGCAAGACTAGAAACCACAAATAAAAAAGGGAACGGATCCATTGAATCTCAGTGTCTCAATAGTTTTCAAAAGATTCTCTTGGCTTAATTCAGAGCCCCCTTTGAATTCCTTGCATTTAGGCAGGGGTTTTGTTTTGCGTCTCCCCCCCCCCCCCTTACAATGACGGGTGTTGTTATTTTAAAGGATTCTCCAGGTGACTACCTCTCCCTGTTATCTGTTGAATGAAAGGAGAGTTGCACAGGCAAGACCAAATACCCCCCAGTCAGTCAGGGATCGCCGCCCCAGCCCCCGCCCCATTATTCCACAATCCAGATGGGATTCGTGATTAGAAAATAAAATTGGCCAAAGCTGTCCCGGAATCCCTTTCGCACTTCTGTTCACTAGCCGTACTCATCAGCGCTCACGAGACCAGGGAAATAACATCAGTTACTTTAGATGGAAACACATTTATACATTTTAGACCAACTTATTGTAGGATGTCTAACTTCTTTTCAGAACTAGCACTCATCTCATTAACAGTCTTTTTTAAATGAGAGCGAGAGCTTTCGAAATATATTCCATCATATGTATCCTTCCCTTTTAAATCTGAGTTAGAAAAATATCACAAAGGAAATCATCAAATATCTGTTCCCTCGATAAATCCTAACAACTATCCCGTTACAACTTACTACTCATGTTTTAAAATTCTATTAAATTTCCACGCCAGGGTATTTTCTGAGGGAAAATCCGAAAATAATTAAATACCTTCAGTGGAATTAAGCATAAGCAAAACAGCAAAATCTGTCTGGATGCACAGGGCTTTGCAGGAAAACGTCCGTCTCCCTCTCTTTCAATAAAAGGACATCTTCCTCACAACGTATCACATTTAACTTATGTGGCTCTGCTACTTGTTCCCAACGCGGCGGGGGATCAGGGCCACTACTAGTCTTGGGGTTCTGCCCCCCCCCCCTCCATCCCCGGAGATGCTGCCTTTGTGCTTCCTCTGCGCTAGGCTGCGAAGAGGATGGAAGCAAAGGGCCAAGCCTGGGTCGACACGATCTTGGCTGTTGTCTTGTCCTGGTGGCACGGGGAGGGGGGCGCAGCTTGTCCTCCCCGAGGCCGCAGCCTGCCTCTGAGGACAGATTGCCCCCCTCCCTCGCAGCCAGCAGCACGCGTCGCTTTGGCGTCCAGATTGGCCGCGACCGCCGCTCAATAGCTGGAGGTTAATTTCCTTCACAAAGGTGAAGGGGGCATGGCTTGGGGGGGGGGGGTCTGCGTGGAGACAGGCGGCCCCTTTATTCGCAGAGCCTTGATTGGAGCCCTTGATTTAGCATCTGATGTCAACCGGCAGACAAAATGCCCGCTCCGAATGAAAATGCATGAGGCCGCGCGAGGAGGGCGGAAACCAACTTCACCCGGGCGCGCGCGGCTGACCTCGGGTTCGGACCTTGGCCAATACCACCCGAATCAACCCAGCCCTGGGCGACGTGGAGGCTCCAAGCGGGCTACACCCGGCCCCTCCGAGGATGCCAGTCCCCAAACTTCCCGGAACTAAAAAAAAAAAAAAAAAAAAGTTCGGAAATTCAAGTTCTTTTTGGAACCCAGCCCAGTCCGCCCCCTCACCCCTTTCGCGCTGCGTCTGCTGGCAATTGAAGAAGTGCCGTATGTACCAAACTGCTTCTCAAACTCAAGAGAAACCTTCCCAAGGACCAGGGTCGCGCGCCCTGGCTGCGGACGCAAACACCACCCTCAGATGCAGTCAGAAGGTCACATCATCCTTCGAAACGTGAACCCCATTTTCGCTTGGACCCAGGGTCTCCCGGCCCATCCGTCCGAAGCGCGAGTGGGGACTCCAGGCAGCCCGGGCTTTGCAGCTATTTTCAACTCTTGATTATTTCCTAAACACCCGGAGGAGGTCCTGTGCCTACCCCACCCCAGCAGCCGCACTCAGATCTCCCCCTCGCCTGCTGCGGCCCACCACCGCCCCTACCCAATCAGCCCGCCCAACTTCCCCTCCGCTCCGGCTCGCGGACTGAATCCTCCTGACATATTTGGGGCCATTCTTCTCCTTTGTTGCTATTTTGCTCGCGACCCGCGGGTAATCCCCGCGCGGGAGGGGGGCGTGCATTGTGGTGCTGATGGACGGGTCCATTTGGCGGCTCCGCGCCCCCGGAGAGACACAAAGCCTCGGCACGTGCGCCTCCCCATAGAGGAGCAGCAGACCGTGAAGTGAGGCGGGGCCGGGCGTGTGCCTGGGCCGGGCGGGGCGGCGGCGCCGGGCGGGGCGGCGACCGGGCGCACGCGGGGGCCCCTCGCCCTCAGGTACATCTGCCGCACCTACCGGGCGACCCCGGAGTCCCGACTCCCTTTTGGCTGCCCCGCCGCCCTCCCACCCTACCCGGCGGTGGAGCTGCCGGCGTGCTGATTGGCTCCGGGGGAAGCGGGAGGCGAGAACAATAGCCCCCTCCCCCCGTTAAAAGGGAGCGGCTCCCGGGCCCGGGGTTTGGGACGCGCGTGCAGGGCACAGAGCCGGGCTGAGCCGCCACCGGCGCCACGCGAGACCCGTAGCCGCCGCGCCCGGGGTATGGGCCGGGGGCACTGAGGCCGCCACGGCCGAGCGCAGAGGTGGGACCCGGCCAGTGCCTTGCCCTCGCGCCGCGCCAACATGCCTCGCGGCTTCCTGGTGAAGCGCAGCAAGAAGTCCACTCCCGTGTCCTACCGCGTTCGCGGCTGCGAGGACGGCGACCGCGCGCTGCTGCTCTCGCCGGGATGCGGGGGCGCCCACTCCGAGCCCCCGGCGCCGAGCCCGGGGCCCGGGCCGCTGCCGCGGCCGCCGCCGGCCGAGCGCGCCCAAGCGGCCCTCGCCGCCGCGCTCGTCTGCGCGCCGGGCCCGCTACCGCCCCAGCCGGGCCCGCGGGCCGCTCACTTCGGCAACCCCGAGGCCGCGCACCCCGCGCCGCTCTACAGCCCCACGCGGCCCGTGAGCCGCGAGCACGAGAAGCACAAGTACTTCGAGCGCAGCTTCAACCTCGGCTCACCGGTCTCAGCCGAGTCCTTCCCCACGCCCGCCGCGCTGCTCGGAGGTGGCGGTGGTGGCGCGAACGGCGCGGGCGGCGGCGGCGGCACCTGCAGCGGCGACCCGCTGTTCTTTGCGCCCGCCGACCTCAAGATGGGCACGGCGTTCTCAGCGGGCGCCGAGGCGACCCGCGGCCCGGTGCCCGGCCCCCCGCTGCCCCCCGCCGCCTCCCTGAGGCCCCCGGGCAAGCGGCCCCCGCCCCCAGCCGCCGCCGCCGAGCCTCCCGCCAAGGTAGCCAAGGCTCCCGGCGCCAAGAAGCCCAAAGCCATCCGCAAGCTCCACTTCGAGGACGAGGTGACCACGTCGCCGGTGCTGGGGCTCAAGATCAAGGAGGGCCCGGTGGAGGCGCCGCGGGGCCGCGCGGGGGACGCGGCGCGGCCGCTGGGCGAGTTCATCTGCCAGCTCTGCAAGGAGGAGTACGCCGACCCGTTCGCGCTGGCGCAGCACAAGTGCTCGCGCATCGTGCGAGTGGAGTACCGCTGTCCCGAGTGCGCCAAGGTCTTCAGCTGCCCGGCCAACCTGGCCTCGCATCGCCGCTGGCACAAGCCGCGCCCGGCACCCGCCGCCGCCCGAGTGTCGGAGCCCGAACCCGCTGCCAGGGCTGAGGCGCGGGAAGCGACGGGTGGCAGCAGCGACCGCGACACGCCCAGCCCCGGTGGCGTCTCGGAGTCGGGCTCGGAAGACGGGCTCTACGAGTGCCACCACTGCGCCAAGAAGTTCCGCCGCCAGGCCTATCTGCGCAAGCACCTGCTGGCGCACCACCAGGCACTGCAGGCCAAGGGCACGCCGCCCGCGCCCCCGCCGGAGGACCTACTGGCCTTGTACCCGGGGCCCAAGGAGAAGGCGCCGCAGGAGGCGGCCGGCGACGGCGAGGCGGCCGGCGTGCTGGGCCTGAGCGCCTCAGCCGAGTGCCACCTGTGCCCAGTGTGCGGGGAGACGTTCCCCGGCAAGGGCGCCCAGGAGCGCCACCTGCGCCTGCTGCACGCCGCCCAGGTGTTCCCCTGCAAGTACTGCCCCGCCACCTTCTACAGCTCGCCCGGCCTCACGCGGCACATCAACAAGTGCCACCCGTCCGAGAACAGACAGGTGATCCTCCTGCAGGTGCCCGTGCGCCCGGCCTGCTAGAGCGCGCCCGTCATCCCGGCCCTCCAAACTGTGCCTTCGCTGGAGACCCACGAAGAGAGCGCGCCCTGCGCGCCCCAAACCCGCGTCCGCGCCAGGGGCGCCCACCCCCCGGTGAAAGTGTTGTCTCCGCTTCTCTCGATGTGGCGTGATGGTAACCCCAATGCTGTCATTGTGACTCCCTTTGGAGCCCCCTTTTGCGTTGTGTCCCTTTCCCCCCTTGGCGCAACAGGAGCCAGTCGCTCTGTACAAGGGAGAAAAGCTGTGCGCGTTTGTCTCGTGGTTGGAAGCCTCCCTCGGAGGGGAGAGCGGTTTTTCTTGCTAGTATTCGCTGTGTTCATGGTCTAGAAATGCGGTTTGCTCTCGCCTACCAACTTCTGCTCTCTATGTATGTAGCGTACGGGTTGTTTTGGGTGAATCTTGAGGAATAAATGCCTTTATATTTCACAGGCTGTAAATTGAACTTCCCACACGATTAGCTTTATTATGGCTTGTGAACTGCTGGAGTTTGGCTTTACCTTTTTGTATGTGAACAAATCAAATTGCTTAAGAAAAAGTTTTCTTTAGTATAGCCACAAATGCCTTGAATTGTTGTCTGGGATTGTTTTTTGGGGGCGGGGAGGGAAGGGAATTTTCAGAAGATGCTGTAGAAACTGCCTCAATATTTCACGTGAGACGTTTTGGTTTGATCGCCTTTGTTGCTTGAGGTAGGACTGAGTTCCCTCTAAATGTATATGTTGATTTATGAGTAATTGTTATTTATTCTTTATTTATTTATATTAATTATGAAGATTGAGATATTATTTTGCTTGCAGATCTTTTTTTTTTTTCTTGGTGTGTGTTTCCCCCCTTGCCACTCTCGACATTTCACTGTGCATTTTACAAGAGAGCCTTTTTCTAAAGGGATCTGCTAAAAGTTTTAACTTTTATACCTAACGGAGCGAATTACAGACAACCTTCCATTTTGTTCTGCTTGGGGGGCCCCTGAGGCCCTTGTACAACCAACAGCTCTTACTTTTAAATGCAATCTCTTTTCTACATAACATTATTTTCTTAATTGTTAGCTATTTATAGACAGCTTCAATAGAACTGTTTCAACTGTATAACTATTTACTATTCAAATAAAATATTTTCAAAGTCAAAGTAAGGTGGACTTATTTCTGCATCCAGTGGTTTCAGCAAGGATTTAAAACGGAGCTTCAGATGATTTCTTAAACATCTCTACGTTTTTTTTATTAAGGGACAAAACCCCGCCACCATCAGGAGGACGGTGGGCTTTTAGAGCGGAGCCTGCGCTGCTGGATTCTGCCCTGTGCCGGTTCAAGGGTCCAGTCCCCCACCCATAACTGGAGCTGAAGCATTAGGGGTCCTTAGGAATGTACCGGAAGGAAGGTGAAGTTAGAATGGAAGCTGGGTGAATCTTTTTCAGAGAAATCTAGATAAGTACCCACACACATCTAGTCTTTTAACCAAAGGGGATATAGAAACACCTGGTTAATTGATCAGATCCTTCATTTCCTGGCAGTTTGGGGCTCACTGTAACAGTATTTCTTCAAATAAATAACATGGTTAAATTTTGACCTCTGAGTACCAACTAGATTAGAAGGAAGTAGAATGATTTTATAGTCAGATTTCCCAAGTGAGGGAAACGAACAAATTCCCATTTGGAGGGGGTGGAAGGTAGGCCACTGGGCTTGGGGTGAGGGCTCAGAAATGATTTTCCAGTCAGGTGAGCAACCCATTTTGGGGGGGAAATAGAACACCATCTGTTTCGGGTATTAAATTTAATCACAGGTCATTAGAATGTTTTCTGTTTCATGTCACTCAGCTCTTTAAAGAACAAGGCTGACACTCACCGGTTAATGTTTTGAGTTGTTTTGCTCTGCCTTTGAAACACTGATTAGAGCGCTGTGCTCAGCGTCACAATGGTGCTGTCCCCTTCCCTCCGTGGTTTGTGTCTGCGGCTCTTCTCTTCCTGTGGCCACCACGCCTTCTAAGGTTTGCCGAGCAGAGAGATTGTAGAAATCTGTGGGGTCGTCCTCTGGAGTGATGGTGGGAAGGGCAGCACGTGAGAAACTTGGAAGGATAATACGACAAAGGGATCTTTTTCAGATTCTGAGCCTCCAGTTTCGTAAAAGGCTCAGCTCTCAGGAACACTGAATATTCCGCCCTTTGTGGGGAATAGACTCTGAATAACAACCACGGGGAAGCCACTGCAGGTAAGTTGCCTCAGGGACAAACAGTGCGTTGCCCTTTATCGCTGATGACTACATATTTTACCAGTTCAACAGAGGAAGACCAAAGCGCAGTGCCCCACCGTGTGAAAGCACAGGGACAAGGCAGCATTTATACCATCCTGAAAACTTTGAAGCAAAGGAAAACTCCAGGTTGTGGGTTGATAGTTGCTCCCTGTGAACAACAATAATGTGTGAAAGTTTTTTAAAATGTTCGCTCTGAATTACACCATACATGAAAAGATCCCTCGTGCTGAGAGTTAGTGTATGTTTTATGCCATGAACAATTTTCCTTAAAAACCTGAGGCGTGCAAGCCTGGCTGCTGGTATGGTATCTTGTCACCTGTGTCCAGCTCACTGTGTTTCTTGTCCATAATCAGAAATTCTAAGTTCCACCTTCATGAGGGCAAATAAATTTGGTTCATAAATCTACCCCTCCAAATTTATTTATTCTAAAATAGAAACCAAAATTTCATTGACGTGAGATAGTAAGTGAAATTGTATAGTAAATGGAGTATATTGATGTTTGCTAAACAAAAGTGTAGAAGAAATTGAAGAACTTGATCAGTTATTTCAAAGCAATACAATATGAGTTAGAATATTCCACAAGAAGGAAATCAGATTCATATTCTCTCTCTCTCTCTCTCTCTCTCTCTCTCTCTCTCTCTCTCTCTCTCTCTCTCTCTCTCCTCTCTCAATCCTCCCTGGATGGATAATAAGTTCACAAGGATTCCTATTATAGAACATCAAGTGGAAGTGCACTCACCTTCTTTATAAATATGGAAAGGATGCTGAGGACATCCTGTGTGTCTGAGGGTGCTCCAAGCTTGGATGCCCATCATTGGAAACTACACACCCAGCTGAGTGAGGGATGCTGGGAGGGGCAAAGTGATCAGGAAAAGTAACCAGATAGAGGAGGAAGGAGCTAAAACAAGGAACAAATAAAGAAAAGGACTTCATTTTTGCCAGTGGTCTCCACACCTTTCTACTTCCATACCTGTGTGGTGGAATAAGCAAGGCTGTCCAGCACTCCCAGGTTCTGAAGAAAGCCAGCAGCTCAAACAGCTGCCAGCCATGCTGGTTTGCCCTTTCTTCCAGGTTGATCATGTCCTCTTGAGGCACATTTCCCTGGAGGCCTGGAGAATTTGGGGCTCTTATGGCTCTAACAGCAGAAACATTGTAGTGAAACGTTTTAACCCAAGCCAGCTGCAGCGCTGCTTCTGTGCAGCACCGTCCACCGGGAGCTCCTCCTTCAGATGATTGCGGCGCCCATCGCTAAGGTCATCCCCAGGCCATACAATAGGAGATCAGAGGCTCAACAGCTGTCCGTAAGGAGGCCGTCTTGGAGCAGAGCAGAGTCCTGGAGTCTGCTGAACCCTGACCACTGGGTAACACAAGCAGATGTGTTGAGGAGAGCCAGGCACACAAGGTAAGACTGGGCAATGCCAGTCACCAGGCAGATGTCACCCAGAGCATCTGTGCCCAGATGCAATGGATAAGGGTGCACCGGTTCTCATTTGCCTCCATTAGCTCTGCGGCAGGATCACATGGAGCAGCCTCCGCCTCCCGCCAGCTCCCGGTTCACCCCCTTGGACTCAATTCCACAGCCATCCACAAAGTCTTCAAACAAAACCAAGCAGAATAGTGTGCTAATCCTTGAGAAGAGATAACATCATACCTTAGCATCTTCACCCACCACCTGTCTTGCAAAAGAGAAAGGGCCTAGGACTCGGCTTGGGCAAGCCCCTTGGCTGTATTGAGTCCCTCATTTTCCTGCAGGGCTGTGTGTAAACCAGAGAGAATGGGTTATGGGACACAGTGAGGTATTTGGGGGTTCCAGAGACTGTGACATGAAAGGCAGCAAGGACCCCAAAGGGAGCAGGCATTCTCCATACACAGAAGAAAACCCACCTTCTTGGGAGTGCCATTTTGTGGCATTTAGGATTAGTTATAAGTCCACTAGCCCGTGGCAGACAGGCTTTGAGCAAAACTTGTTATCTTTTTGCAGAAGGGACATTTGGTCAGTTATGTGTCATATATACATGTACTGTATGCTAGCTTGTTACAGGGTCAGGTTATGTTACAGGTTTTTGACGTACAGAGAAACCTTCAATGTTTAGTAGTTAAAGGTCCAAGCTGAGGGATTTGGAGAAGATCAAGGGGGAAACTGACTTGGAGAGAGAGACCACAGGATAGCAAAACACCTGTATCAGAGAATCCACTAAATAGCAACATACAAGGATCTTGAATCCATTTGATTGCCAAGGTGGTACCAAAGCATGGAGCACAGTATGGCGGTCTAAAGGCATTTAGGATTCTATCTTAAATTAGGAAAACATCTCGTTAATGTTTTGGCAATAACCTGAGAGTAATCACTGAAAATTCCACTCAGCTGAGAATGAAGCCAAATGCATCATTAAGTTGCATCTTCAATATATACACTGAAGAAAGTTATTTCTTTATTATAAACCTGTAGCATTGAACGATTCATATTCATAGGGAAAGTCTGGTATACGCATTAGTTCTGGGTAATATGGTGACTGTCTCTAATAGTCACATTGGTGACACAGAGAAAAGTTCAGAAGTGAGACCTGGCCATGGGGCCCACAAGAATGATCCCACCCAATGACCCTAGGAGAAAGAACTATTCCCAAAACCCAGAGTAGGAGGACTATACCGGGGCTTCCTCCCATCCCCTTTGGTCTACCAAGGCTCTGCCATGAGGCCAGGTATGTTGAGTCCATAGGAAGAATGGGTGAGAGAAGACAGCATCTACCAGCCCAATGATCTCCAGGAATAGGGAAACCCTTTCTTACCCAGGAGGTTGCTAAAAAAAAAACTGTTTCCAACTGATTCATCACCTTCTTGTCTTGTGCAAAAAACCAGCTACTGGTTTTGGCATCGTCAAGAGGATTTTCATGAACACACATGAGTCCTGTTTCTTTAGGCATTCCTTAGGAGAAGCTGCAGGGGGAAATTACTACTGGCCAGATAGGGTCTCAAAAGCGACAGAGCTCACTGAGAGGTGTCACCAGCAAGGAACCTGTGATGGACCTTCATGGTGAAGGGACTTGATGCCTTGTGGCTGGGCGAGAGAAACAGCTTGGCTTATGAATTTGACGATTCACAACTATTTTGGGGTCATTATTAAGGCCTGATATGCTTCTCAGAATCACAGAACATATATGAGCATATGATTTGAAGTCAGTTAACTTATTTTCACTAATCCAAACACATAACCCTTGATCTTTTAAGTCCCAACTGTCATCATTTGTCCACCACATACTTTTTTATTGTGGGCTTGTTCTGTCGCATCTGGAAAGTGGAATGTTGAGAACATGCATGCTTTGTCTGGTGGTATATATGGCGAGTAGATGGGTTGTGGGTTATTGTGTTTGTGTTTGTCTTGTTTGAAGATTTCGATTCCAGTGTGGTCTTCCTGGTGGCATTTCCACAAAAGCATCCCATACTGAAATTTTTTCTTTAGCTCATTACATAAGCCCCACGACAAACTATTCTTAGAGCATTAATTACATCAAAATGAAGCCTATAGAATGCTTACTGCCAGTGGAGAACATTCAAAGATGTGATTATTGAGAGCGAGCATTTCAAGTATGCCATTTTCATGCTGTGCAGCGTCACCAACATCTGTAAGAAGCTCGTCCACACCATTTGCATTCAGAGGTTACCAGGACTGCTGTCCCTTCATCAGGACTGTTCCCGTAGCCAGTAGACTAAGCATCGCACACACAGGGGGATGGGAGGGGGGACAGGGAGAGGAGACAAGAACGGCGGAAATATCACCCTGAATCCATTATTCTCCTCTTTCACTCATCAAAAAGGCCCTTTTATTTGAGTGCAACATCTGCTTCATCTCTGTTGTTCAG